GGTCCCGCGGCCGGTGACTGGCTGGCAAGGACGACGTGGGCGGGCAGGGGCGGGACGTGGCCCGCCGGCTGCTGCCAGGCTCTCAGCGCGTGCTTCCTTGGGCAGCTGTCTGGGCTTGCACCGCTGCGGCCAGGTAAGCAGCCACACTCCACACTTCCCTCGGATCCCTACCTCCCTGGGGGAGAGGGCTTCCGGGCCGAGGGTGCAGCACGTGGGGGCTGCCGCGTCCGTCGGAAGAAGCCGAGCAGGGCCGGAGACGCCCCCCGCACCCCGGGGCCCGAGGGCGGGTCGTGTTCCGCTGCGCCCAGGTCTCGGCAGCTGAGTGCGGAATCGAGGCCAGGGTCCGACCCGCCAGGGAGCGGCGTGGAAGGCCGAGGCGGAGGGCCTGGCTCCGAGCCGGATGGCGAGGCTGACAGTTGGAGCGGCAGGCGGTGTGAGCCCGGAGGGACCCAGGCCGGGGACCCCTGAAAAAGCCTTCCAGCGAAGCCAGTCAGCCCTCGTGGGAAGCACGGTCTACCTCGAAAACGCTTGCACCTCGGCTGTCATTTTGCTTTCACAACCCCAGACCCTGCCGCGAGCGGCAGAGTTAGGACTCCGAGGCCCGTTGTCTGCTGCAAGTGCTGAGCGCGGCCACGTAGGCCCGCACGCTCGCTGTGCTGGCCCGGTCGCTGAGTGACACCTTGACAGGCTCCAGTGAGCTCAGACTTCGGCTCCTCGCGTCTTTGAGCGGAGACACTCTGATTTTAGAAAGCAGGCCTCAGTCAGCCCCGTGTGTTGAGGTTTTTTTTTTTTCAGAACCGGGGGTTGAGCTCAGGCCCTTGCACTTATTCCACTGAGCCATCTCCCAGGCCCACTAGCCCCGTTTGGTTTTTTCCTACCTTACACATAGGGTGGAACCACAGTCCCCTCAGAAGCGGGACCACCCTGGACATGATGTGAGGTGATTAGGGAGGACTGTGGGTGATGTGTGGGAGGATGGAGAGTGAACAGCCGGGCTGAGAGACCAGATGTGACTCATTTGACGTGGTGCAGCTTCATGAAAACCGGTCGTTTTGTAACCAAGATAGGGTCGGGTTTGGTTTAAAAGAAGAAACATCCTGGAAGCCAAGAGAACTCAAGAATGAGCTGGAACGCACTTGAGGCAGAGGGTAAATGTCACTCCACGGCGCTGGGAGACACAGCAGTGGACTTTTAGACATGGTCCTGATATTCCAGTCAGGGGAGCAGACTTTATAACAAATAAAAATAAGTGACAAGGAGGTGACAGTTACAGAAGTCCAGATCCTGCAAAGGACAGGCCACAGTGGGTGGAAACAAAAGGAGTTGAGACAATGGATATAGGAGGAAATGTTCCAGAGAAACGGTTTAGATTTGGGGGTGCCTTATGGTTTCTATCACAGGGGCTGTGCAGTTCCTAGTCTGCCCTCAGTTAAGGGGGCAGAAGTTCTTGCGACATTTAGCAGGTGGGTGCTCCCTCACAGCTGATCTGCTTCCAGTAGGAGGCAGGAGGCCTTTCCTGGTCTCTGGGTTGACTGGCAGAGTGTGTGTCCTGGAGGTGGGGCTAGCACTTTGCTCAGCTGGGTCTTCTCCAGAGCCTGAGCCTGGCACTGTGTAGGCTAGAGCAGAGTGCGCCCTGCCTGCCAGCCAACTCCTGTCACTTCCTGTAACATTTGGCAGGTGAACCCTTCCTTGTTGCACACTGCTCTGCTGGGACCAGGAGAGGTGCCTTCAATAGGAGGTTGGGTATCAAGAGAGGTGGCGGGGGTGTTTTGGGGTAGACATGTGTTGCCTGGCTCTGCCCAGGCCACATTTTGTGCTGACCCAACTCACCAGCCTGGAGTACCTCCCAGGACATCTGAATGTTGACTGCAGCTCTCCCTTTCCCCAGTCGTTCCTCCTGCCTCCTGTCTTTCTGGGATTCTTTCCCATCTTTGGGGGCTCCTTTTCTTGGTTTGCTTCTTAAGTGTTTTGATTTTTCAGGTTTTGTCTTCATTTTCCCCCTTTTTCTAGTCTATCTTCCCTTGAACTGCTTTGGGGCTGCTGGTCAATTTTTTTTTTTTTTTTTTTTGTGGAACTGGGGATTGAACTCAGGCCCTTGCACTTGCCGAGGAAGTGCTTATTCCACTGAGCCATCTCTCCAGCCCATGCTGATCAATTTTTTACACTTAGCCCAGACCTCTGCTTTCTTTCCAGTCTAAACACCCGCTGCCAAGAAACTGGACCTCTCTGAAAAGTGGTAGGCATCAGAGAACAGCCTCTCCAGGCTTTGGTGTCCAGATGCTGGGATACAGCAGTGTGAGGAGGAGGGAAGTGGTCCCGGGACCAGCAAGGCTCTGAAGTGAGAATTGAAGCCCACAGGCAGAGTGGAAAGAGACCTCAATGCAGGATGAGGGGGAAGCAGGCAGGGCCTTACCCCTGAGCCCGAACTCACTGCATGGAAAGAGTGGCCTAAAGCTGCAGACACATAGAAACTGAACCTCCTATGAAGCCAGAACTTTTTGCTAAGCAGCAAGGTGACAGTGCTAAGTAAAATGAGCGTATTCCCTAACTTTGCAGGTGAAAATTTAAATTAGTTTTATTTTTTTTTAAAGTTTATTTATTTTGTGTGTGTGTGTGGCCAGCTCAGCCCACCAGGGGGCGGGGCTGGCTGGCATGTGGTGCTGGGGGATTG